CGATCCCCCTAAAGTAAAAAAAAAAATTAATAAAAAAATTAAAAAAAAAAACCTCTCCTTGAAATAATTCGGATACATTCTCCGACTCCATGGCTATCCAATCCAGATACTTTCTATATCGGTGCGTCTCCAGCATCGGCTGCCATCTGCCGATCAGAGCTTCACTTTTCCCCCTGCTGTGACTGGCTGCCTCAGTTCTGATGAGGCTGACGTATTCACAACATACATACATATGAATATTGACTATCGAGTCAGCTGTGGCCCCCCCTTCCTCCTACTCCATGGTTTCTTCTTTCTATAGTCACTCCGTATAGTTCTATAACTCGTCCATGGCGTTGGGTAAACGGCCCGCACCGCATCCGGGGGCGAGGAAAAAGAAGCAATTGTCCTCCGTATAGCATCAAGTAAAAGTACTGTATGTATTGACGATTTTGCAATTTCACCTCTCATTACACAGCAAGTGATATTTCACAACTCAAATCCAAACAGGATTTATCCATGTCGCATGCATCTCGTTCTGGTTCATAGAATCTCACCCATCATCCCCATCTCCCCTCAAGCTTTGTCCCTCGCGTTATACACCCATTCATGGCTATTCTGTCGTACAGATCGGGGCACTCTCGCGCCCTTGGTTGGGTGAGTCTTTTATATATCTTCCGTATTTATACATAATTCATCTTTATATATCCATCTATTATTGTTATTCTATATATCTTTTGTCTCTATGTATATAAAACCCAAAACCCCCGCATCAATAATCGACTCATCTATTTGAAATCATTCATTTGCCTTCTTCCCTTTTCCTCTTTCTCTCTCTCCCTCTCTTTCCACCCCTCCATCTACTAGTCAGGCAGCCTTCTATCTAAAATCTAATCGTATCACACTCAGATGCACCAATCAATTATCCCGGATCTCTTCCATCTAGCTTACCGTTCCCGTCGCGACATCGCATGCCTCTTCCGATAGTCTGGTATTGGCGGCACACCCCCTCCACCCAGAATCTGGTCCCGACTCGTATGTATGCAATGGTGCAATCCAGCTATCTATGCATGTACTTGGACTTGGACCATGCGTACATGTCATATTGGCTGTTGGCGTATCATCCAGTTGTGGGTGACTGGGTGTGGAGGCTCGGCCACGGTGTTATTTGAAATTATGAATCCTTCAGAGGGGGTCGTAATATAATCCTACCGTGAAAGTAAAAATTTGTTTTCTTTTCTTTTTATTTTTGCTCCCTCGGCATGTGATAATGAATGGTATTGTTCTTGGTTAATGGTTACCTGCTATTCTATCCATCCAATCAAGGTGATTATCTTAATATATCCAAGGATTAGGTATATACGTGTAACTATCGAATAATATCACGTTCAAGGCTTTCGCACGGAGTGATGGAATATTCCCCAGACACCTTCGAATGCTTCAATACGGTCTTTCACATCAAACAGATTATACCATCGTGTCCGGCGCAACTTCAATACATGCCATGGCTGGTCTGGTACGTCGGACACTGCCGGGAAGTCGCTACTCCCTGTAGTAACTATATCAAGATATCGACGGTGGACTCGTAAATGCAGAATCGCAAGGTGGTGGTTGATAGATGACAGCATATATATCTAATTCCATGTTAGTCATTCCTCTTTCCTGGTCTTGCAGGTAGCTTACATCGTCAAATGCACTCTCCCGGTTCTTCCCAAGCTGAATATATCGCATTCTCCTATCCCACAGACTGGGTCCGGGTTGGACAAGCTTCCACTTTTCATTGTTTGTCAGTTTCCGAGGAGCCCCCGGTCGACGCGATGCCGTAAAGGGATGGTCGAATTTGGAGCGTTTGCGCGCCTTCATAGTCTCCGCCGTAGGTTTGTCCTCCTCATTGCTGGTCTCTTCCTCCATTCCATCGTTTGGTGCACCACCCCATCGAGGTGTCGTCGTCCACCACTGGCCCTCACCCGGTCTGACTTCAGTCGAGCCCTCTCGTGCTCGTTCTTGTGCTGCCAGAAGCATACCGCCAACTTCACGGTAGATATCGCTAATCTCTCCTATCCCTGAGCCAGGGGCTTCCTCTGGTCCGCGGAATGATGTCTCAGTCCGACATTGTGCAACTAAAATAGGTCCTTCCATGATGCCACTTCGAGCCAGCTGTCGGTCCTTGGGGGATCGAGCGGAGAAAAAGGAATGTCGAACGGGGAACAGCATGGACTTGACGGTCAGTCTCGGGGGAATCATTGGAACTGTGACCTGGCACCCAAAAGGCCAGGCAGCCATTTCGGCAAATGCCCGGATAGTTTCGTCACGGGCATCCTCTGGCATTTCGCTACCGGTGCCGTGACGGCGTCCAGTATACACAGCAACTGATGGCCGTCCTGATTCTTCCTCGGGCTGAGGTTTGTCACCAGCGGCTTGTGTGGCTGGAGGATTGTCAACCTCCATGGACGTGTCTGATTTCTCAGCTCCTTTGGAAGCCTGGATTTGGTCATCTACCTGCATCTTGTCCCCCGTTTCCTCATCTGGCGTTTGTCGTGGTGTGGCAGGGCGTTCGTAGTAATTATCCAGGCTAGTGTCCCAATACTGCGCCATTCGTTCCAGTCCTGTCCAGAATTTTCTCGTTTGGGTCACTCGAACCCGTTGACGACCCTCGCGAGGGGCCAACCTCCCAACCTCTCGAAACGCATCATCATTGTCCAACAACAGTTCATTTTTCACAACCTCAAACCTCTCATTTGATGGATATGGGTTTTGGTTTTCCATCAGAATCGGCTCATCTGCAGGATCCCTGGGAGGAGCATTTTCCCACGGCAACGGCGGAGATGAACCCTGGCAGGCCTCTGGAACGATATGCGAAGCAGGAATATCCGATTCCACTTTGAGATTAAGAGACCTGAATCTTTCTGCGGAGATATCCTGGGGCCTTTTGATCGAGGCTAGATCGTGATATAGGTCATCCAAGGTGCATTCGGCTTCATTTTCGGTGGCATCCAAGAGGTTGTATACAGGGAAATCAAGCGGCGTCGCAGCAGATGGGGGCTGACGTTCCTTGTCGGGCTCGGTGCCCACCGAAGGCGCGCCTATAATTATCAGTTGCTTGTTTCAATATCTTTATCCGGTGATTTTATGAAGCGCGAGGTCGCAGGCTAACCTGGGAGCAAGCATCACCAAGAACAGCGAGGATTTTCAGCGAAAACCACCAGACCAGTTGCGAAGTAGCTCTAAGAGTTCCAGTCTGGAAAGTTCGCCTAGCAAAAAAGCATGAGGGGATATGGTTTAGGAACGTAGAGCAAACCCCCGGAGGTCTCCGCGCCTAATCTGCAAAGGCCATAGGGTAGATATTATCATTCATCTCATGCTTTTCAGTAATGAATCATGGTCATTACAAGCGAGGGTAAATTGAAAATCATGGAATAAAATGACAACATAGCCCATGGCTGACACGGGCGGGTAGCAGGTGGATTGGAAGAGGGGAGTCCTTACTCAGCGTAGCAGCCCAAGCGCCAAACATGATCCGATGTCTTCAATAGACAAAACTCTTGATCACAGTAAATTGCTCAAGATGAAGGCAGGTAAGTAAAGAGATGGGGAGCAGGTGATCATGTGCTTGTGCTCTGAGCTTGGAGTGGCTGAGGGGTAAACGTTAAGACGGGATGCGAAGAGTCGGAGAAGATTTCCTGAGCCAGCCAAGGAAATACACTAATATGCGAGATGTTGAGTGTTGAAAAAAAAGGAAGAGAGACAGAAACCGAAGAGCAAAGCAGCAAAAATGGTATGTTGACAGTACTTTGACGATGACCTGATTCCGATCATTTGCAGTTGTTGTTGTTCTTCTGATGGAGTCAAACGTTTTCTTTTAGGGGACTTTTTGGGTTCCAGCGGGACTCGCATCGGGCCGTGCGTATTTACTATGAAGTGCTACTGGACAATGCAAGAACATATTCTGATGTATTGTTTTGTTTTGAAAGGCACAGTAAATGCAAATCACCAGGATGTATTGATAAAACCCAGCCTGTCAAAATACTCTGTACCGTAGTCATGTACACATCGTTGTAAGAGCATTCTTGACTAGTCAGAGGTGGGGTATCTGCCACTCCAGCTAATAATGAGGCGATCGCTCTACCCATTAGAATTAAATAGACAAACCCTACCGCTGAACCCTATTCCAAATACTGATCCAAGCTCGGAGACGCTGCACTCACCACTCGCTTATTTCTGCATTTTTGAGGCTGTATTATTGCTGTGATTAATGCGCTTGTCATGATTGTCGATGCACGTGACACCCAATGGAGACAGTCGGACCGAACACACCTGAGTCAGCGGAATACCATCACATGATATCACATGACACTATACCACGCCTTTCCCCATACGGCAATGCCTCCTCATCTGGCGCTTCAACCAACTCTCGACTGCTGCTTTGCTATCTGTCTGAAACCGCCATCTCCCCAAAGATTGGTCGAAACGAGAATCATGGTTCATTGCTATACAGAAGTACTAACCGCCATGTGAAGTTTATGTTTCTGGGCGCCCACATAGCCAATATGCGCCCGTTCTCTGTCGCTTCCCCCTCTGACGGTCGATCACACCTGGGGGCTTCTGGCAGGGGCTGTCCTGACTGGTGTGTCCCAAAGTACTACATACCAGGCCATCACATCCATTTCGGAAAAGGGATTGGATAGTCTCAATGGCATTTGTTTCATCTTCGGCTTGGTGCGTGCTCAAGTCTTCAGATACCAGAGGGGAAACAGCCCCTACAATCATGATAATATTATGGTGATAGTTCTCCGCACTTAGGAGAAGCGCCTGAGACGACAACTCGAATGATCCTAATCACTCGGGGTCAGCCTGAGCACTTTTTTCTTTTCTCTCTTTTTCTCTCTTTCGATGAATCATTTTTTATTTATTCTCATGACTGTCGATAATGATAATTCAAACCTGTTTTCTTCTTTGTCAGATGTGATACAATCAATCCACATGGGTTTCCTATATGCTCCATCTGCCTCACACCACTCCAATCCTGAAACAGAAGAATTCAACTCGGGCCAACGCCTCTGACGACTATTGTCATGGATCAGTTCGGTTGTGCTCTGTCTCTTCTCACCATTATTTGACCTAGAGAAACGAAAAAATGAGGGTCTAGAATGCTGTCAAACTCTTCGATCGTCCACACTGGTTTATTCCCTTGGTTCATAGTCCATTCTCATCCCTGCCCATCAGCGGCACCTTCGACCCTGCAATATCTATCCATATTTCCCATATACTTGCCCTCGATGCAATAGACTCGAGTGTCGTCTCGGTTTCCTATTCTAGTACTGTCATTGCAGCCGTCATACAGCCTGCGGGCTTGGCGAGATGTCAGATCCATCTATCATCTTCTTCAAGGGCTTGAAATGCACCAAAGTCCCTCGAATATCACCCGTGGCAGCGACGACACGTTCATCCTCCGGCTCTTCAGCTCTTCCCGTTGAGCCAATTCCCATCACAGCTTCCTCGGCGTCGAATATCACATTACAAACACCTGTGTCAACCTCTGATCCGACTTCATTTATTGAGACTTCGTTATCCACGAGTTCTTCGACATTAGAAAGGCCTTTAAATACATCAACAACATCATCTCTGACCCAACAAAATACAATCAGTACAACGTCAGCACCGCCTCTGACTACTTCGTCTACTACATTCACAACCACACCTACAGCCACATCAATTCATGAGCCTTATTCTCCATCAGAATCACGGAACTCGTCCAGCTCTAGCATTCTGGTGTCTTCCGGTAGCATTGAACACCCTTCCCCGCTGCTCATTTCAATTACAACAGAGTCGAAGTCAGTGTCGTCGAGTTTAGGAACACACAGGGTCTTTTCTACCAATTCGCCAACGGCAACAGGACATGTTGCCGGAGCCAATCCATCGAAAACTCCGTCAGATGGACTAGGGTATAGTAACTCGAATAATACTCTTCGCACTGTTCTCGGCAGCGTTCTGGGTGCGCTGGCTTTTTTCGCACTCATACTTTTGGCATGCTTCCTTGTGTATCGTCACAGGCGGCGAAAATCTCGCAGCACCGCAAACTTAGGTGGCAGTGAGACACTGCTACTGAATGGTCGAGGTTCTGCGGCTTCTTCAGCTATGACACATGGGCGCTGCCAGTCGGATACCTCTTCCCACTCTACTCGTTCATCTATGCATTCGCATATGCGTAATTTCTCCGGGGCGCCGGCGCCACCCAGGTCAGCTCGAGTCGAAAATCCCTTCTCCGACATGCAAGAGATACAACATGAAAAATTCGGTCCTCATGGCATGTTTGGTACAGTTCAAGATCCGTTCGCCGATCCAGAGCCCAACAGGGGGCCACCATCCATGAGGCAGGCTTCTCTATCTGAACCAAGGCTTCAGCCAATCCAAAAGATGGTGACAACAATCTCTGGTCTGCAATTCAGTTCAGATCAGGCGTCTCTGTGCAGCAGTGACCAGAGCTATGGTAGCACCATTATTCTCCCCGGAAGAAGCAGCTTAGGGAGCCTTCAAGGGGCTCGCTATCAACTTTCAATCTCGGAACCGAGGTCAGCTAGACAGCGCGACTCGTTTGCGCGGGTTAGCACACGAAGTGATCCATTTGATTTGGAACTTCCTCAGAGCGCAATGCAGAGAGACACTTATTTTCCAATCAGAGAGGACCGGGTATAGCTACCAGGCAACAACCGCTGTCTTGTTTGACTGTAACTTCAAGGTGGAACTACCTGTTTGTGGTCATAAATGATATGCAATACGAGATATGAGCCATGAGGATTTCATGCGTGGTTACGCGTACCTATATGTTGGGGCTTTATGGGTGGAACTCTGCTTTTATAGACCAACTGGTTTGGTATAATAATTGTAGGGATTATTATTGTCTAGTATTTTATGCAAAAGAATTTATAATGGTATTTGGTTAGAAATCTTCAAATGTAATATCTCCTCTCAGATACCTGAGACTTTCTAGAAGATTTACCAGTCCTCTATATAGATTAAAAATCTTCGCAACATGTTGACCTATAACAAGGACACCCACAAGGTGAACGATATAGCAAAGTTAGTAGGCTAGAGATCTTGAATAGGAGTATGAAAATACAAGTTGCTTGAAATGTATACCGTTGCGGTAATATCTAATTCGTGATACTGTGGTTCGTCTGCAGATTTCACAAGAACTGCATGTAAGTGTAGATATACTCGTGATCGATATGTTGTCATCCACTCAAAATATATTTCCACTATGATGCAAGGGGAATCACATCAACCCACAGAAAATAAAACACAACCATATAAAAAAAAATGAAATCCAATAATTGATGAATGGAACATGGTAATAAAAGGCCCCTGGATTATTATATAGAGCTATTTTTGTTGAGGAATTTACATTATATCTTGGTGCATCCCCCCGCGCGATAAAAGACTTGCAGATTCCAGGCTACAATTCTAAGACTACACCCCACTTAGGTTGGAGATGAACGTTCCTTAAAACCGTTGATTACTAGGTAGTGATACCGTAAAGCATACTCCGTATAAGACTCATAAGTCGACTGAACAATCACATTACAAACCGAGATGATCCTAGTGTGATATTCAGTAGTAAGACGTTACGACATTAAGTAGAAAACAGCCTGAGATGGACCAAGGAAGGTTGAAAGGAAAAACATCCGGGACTTGGTTGGGATGGTTGGATGGAAGCAGGAGAAATGCAATAAATCAAAGTTTCATATCACACAGAGCGCCATGCCATTTGACTTGTTTTAATTTTTTGATGTTCTTTTTCTGTCGGTCATGAAAAGAAAAAGAAACGCATTTTTTGCTGTTTCCGACCCTCCCCGGATTGCCAGGTTCCCGATATAAAAGCCGTCCCGGACGAAATTCAAGCCATCGAGGCAGACCGGGAGAGAAAAACAATATGGCCGACCTGTTACCCTCTGGCTGATTGATTCCTCCCGAGTTCAACCTCCGCACCGCCAAAAAACATCAAAGGATTTTTACTCCTGCTCGCCAGCGGCCAGAGCGTTGCGCTTAGCCTCAACACGCTCCTGTCTCCGCTCACGGAGGGCCTTGTTCTTAGCACGCTTGGCGTCCATCTCCTCCTTGAGAACACGTTCACGGGCTCTCTCAGCCTTGGCCTTCTGGATCTGTTTCGGGGAAAGATATCAAGTCAGCTCGCAAGTTCCATCACGATGATTATATATTGTTGCCGCAATGCCCCTCAGTGGGGCAATGTTTTCGATGACATCCGAGATATTGGTGACCAAGAACTTACGTGTTCAACGAGAGCACGCTTGTGCTTGAAGGTGTTACCCTTGCTCAGGTGGTAGAGCTCGTGGTAGAGGTGCTTGTCGATCTTGCCAGAGGCACGGTAGCGGACAAGGAGGCGACGGAGGACACGCATGCGGCGCATCCAGAGGAGCTCGCTAAAGACAATCCATCAGCAAAACGGTTCCCTCACAGTAGCATATCCCGAGCCACCCGTGGATGGGAGTAGAATGACGAGCGAAAAGGTGTCGATTAGGCGTGTCCATACCTGGGCATACGAGCGTCCTTGGTACCCTTGCGCTTACCCAGACCTCTGTGTCTACCGATTCTGCGGGCTGCGTTGAGCTCACGGGCACGAGAGCGGGAGTGCATGGTGACGGGCTTGCGGATGATGAGGCCATCGCTGACGAGCTTGCGGACGGTCTGACGGGAGTTGGCGTTGGAGATTTCGCTCATCTCATTGGGGTCGAGCCAAATCTTGCGCTTGCCGCAGCCCACCACGGACGCGGCGAGGCGCTTCTGGGTGCGAAGGTTGACCCTGTTGAGCAAAAACACTCGGTCAGCATGAGGCCAAAATCGGGAGACCTGGAGAAAAAATGGTGCCACAGGTCGTTCGGAGGGGCATGATCATGGGAAGAAAAAAGCTCCAAGAGCAGTATTTCCCCCTCAATGAACAATTTCGGATTCTGGAGATGAAACTCACATCTTGATGTCGGCGTGTCGACGGTCGTTGGCGGATGATGTTCGTTGCACTCGTCGACGGGTAGAATTCCCAGGTGAGGAGTTTGAGATACGGCGGATGATTAGCTAAGCGACTGTGCTGCTAAGCGAGAGGGTCCACCCTAGGGTTTGTGCCCCAGACGCTTGTCCCGACCGGGGAAGATGTCAAGAGCCTCAAGAAGACCATAGTTAAAGAGTATTTAATTGGCAATTATTCCATTTCTCGGGAAAAGTAATTGCAAGTACTGAACTGGAAATCATAAACAAATACATTATATTTCTTCATCTTCCTTGCGTCTTTTGCTGGCTCTCTTGATCGTACTCTGTATTAGCTGTTTGATGCTTTCGCTTACTTCCAATGTCACATGATCTCCATAGGTCTAGGGCATCGCGTCATCGTCATGATCGCCTGGGGATAATGACATAGAAACATCTAAGAATGTCATATGTTCATTGGTGATGTAAACAAAAGGAACGTGAAATTAATTCAACATATCATGAAAACGGACTTTTTGTATAGAAAAGATATACACAAGTGGAAAAGAGGTAGTATAGATCTAGCTCATGCAGAACAATAATCACTCCTCGAATGAACCTTCTCCAAGATCGACCTTTCCAATACTCCACAATTCCTTCTCATCATCAACCTCGTCATTGGATAGACCCAATCCTCCTTGTCCACCTTCGGCTTCCCTTCGTTCTCTGGCCTGGTTGGCAAGACGGATCGCAACACGCTTGAAGTAATCGGACATGCTCCGCTTCGGTCCAGGTGGAAGCTCCGCACCAGGTCCAGCCATATACTTCTCGAAAACGGCACCCTCAGACTCAACTACGGAGAATATTCCCAAGAAAGCTGCTTCTGCTGCCAACTTAACAGGGATCACCATGTCACGAACGCTGGCGAAGATTGGTGGTGCAAGCAAAGCAAGATGGGGACGAGTCATTTCGGGATGAAGGCGGCTGACAGTTCGCACGACCACCAAAGCCAAGCGACGGGTGTCAGATGGCGTGCCTGGTGAAATACAAGCCGATAAGGCCTCAAATATAGCCTTGCTGGCCTCAAAGCCACGGCCTTCATTTTCCGTCAGAAGATACTTTCCTGCCGCGAGGACGCTGTTGTCGGCAATAAAGGGCTACCTCTGAATTAGCGTCAAACTGTAGACTGAAAAAGTAATCAGAAACTTACATCCTTGTTAGAAATACCCTGGCATATGATGGAGTGCGTTTCAGCCTCGAAATGTTCAGTCAAAGAAGATGGTGACTCGACAAGCAAGGAGTTGAGCCCAAGGATTGATGCGTGCGTGAAATGCGTTGTGAGAGCGCGGTTTCTTAAGTTCCGTTAGTTTTATTTCAAGAAATTCAAGGTAGAGAGGGCATACTTGATAAGCGGGCCTGCAGTCGCTGCAGGAAGAACCTTCACAAGCGCACCGAGCAATTTGGCATTGGTAATAGCCACAGTATCTATTTGTGAAATTAGAAAGAGAAAAATTTAATGAAGGACTTAGTATGAACTAACCGGTCTGGTCACTAGCATCGTCGTCGATGAGACCGAGGATGGCGTTCTTTGAGGCCTCGCTCATGTTACCACCGGCCTTACCAACCACTTCTTGAAGGGCCTTCATCATAGCATTCTTCACGCCGATATCGGCTGTCTTCGATCCAGCAATAAGCTCTATTATAACGATTAGTACTGTATGTCTTTGTATTCCAATTGTCTTGACTTACCTGCAATGAGGGGATCAACCCTTGGAGTCAAGGTGATCAAGATTCCAAGACCCTTAGCAGCTCTGTTACGAAGAGTCTCACTGGATGTATCTGCCAAGCCTCGCGCAAATGTGCGCTGAAGCTGAGGCAGGAAAGGCTTGACAGCGAGCGGAATCTTCTCCAGAAGTTTATTGAGCGTGAGGAAGATGGCACCTGATCGATTCTGTTAGCCTCATGACCGGAGGGAAAAAAAAAAAAAAAAA